AGGCACCTTCAAGATCCTCTAGTTCCATCCCCCTGCCATGAGAAGGCCCAGTTTTTTGTTGACTATTAGGTCTTTAATACTTCTGTGGTAGCATTGCTCCTTTAAAAACAAGTTTTAGCTTCAGCGAGTAAACTAGACACCTTTGGGGACACTGTTGTCACTAAAGAATTTAGAAAGCTGAAAGGCTTTCTAGGGATCCCTACCCCATTGCCCTCACTCAGACAACCTTCAAAGACCACTCATCTTGCCTGGGACTGTGTCCACCCAAGCTGGATGCCACAGACAAGGTAACACCAACTTTCAGCTCTTCAGGCTGAGATGACAACTTGCAAGAATTCAACAGTTTGGATTCATACCTTTGAAGCTTAATGCCTACATTTTTCCTTTTACACTAGGGAGAGGTGGGTCACATTTAGATTGGGACTGTGGCAATGCAAGCTTGCAAATGTTTTTGAACTGCAAAACAGACACCTCCCACTCTGTAGAAGGGGGTTGCAAAGTTGACTAAGTTCCAGCTTTCTCTCTCTTCCAGGGAAACCTCGGTCTCCTTTCCTGAAGGAAAGACAAGATGCAGAGGCACAACCTCTCAACAGTGTCCGAATTCATTCTCATTGGCCTTTCTGATGCTCCACACGTCCGTTTGCTGCTCTTTGTGCTCTTCCTGACCATTTATTTGGCCACCCTGGCAGGCAACAGCACAATCCTCATTGCTGTCAGCACAGACCCTTGCCTGCACAACCCCATGTACTTCTTCCTCAGCAACTTATCCTTGCTGGATATCTTGTGTCCCACTATCACCGTGCCCAAGATGCTGGGGGCCCTGTTGCTTGACAACAAGGGCATTTCCTTCAAGGGATGCCTCTTCCAGCTCTTTTGCCTCATTCATGTGGTAGGCACAGAGATCTTCCTCTTGGCTGTCATGGCCTATGACCGCTACGTCGCCGTGTGCCACCCCCTCAAGTACCTGAGCATCATGAGTATGAAGCTGTGCGCTCACCTGGCCATTGGCACCTGGCTGGTAGGCTTTTGGAACTCCCTCCTGCACACCTCTTTGATTTTTACCCTGCTTTTTTGTGACTCCAACCAAGTGCACCATTATTACTGGGACATTCCTCCTGTGCTGGGCCTCTCCTGCTCGTCTACTTGGAGCAGGGAACTGGTGATTCTGGCAGTCGCTGGGGTGCTGGGGAGCGGCGCCTTTGTGCTCACTCTCATCTCTTATCTCTACATCCTCCTGGCCATCCTGGCCATGAACTCCTCGCACAGCAGGCACAAAGCCTTCTCCACCTGTGCTTCTCACCTGGCCGTGCTTTGCCTTTTCTATGGCACCACCATCTGCACCTACGTGCGCCCTTCCTCCACCTACTCCCCTCAGCGGGACAGGATCGTTTCCATGCTCTATGGAATCCTCATCCCCCTGCTCAACCCCATCATCTACAGCCTGAGGAACAAAGAGCTGAGACGTGCCCTAAGGACAGGGATCACCCAGCTGACAACTGCTTTCACAGCACAACAACACCTTGCCCAGTCTCGGCTGTCCTCTGCAGCTCCAGCAGTTGGATAGGAACTGCAGCTTCTCACTGACCTTCCAAAAATTAGTTGCTGCAAGCCAGGCTCATTTTTCAGGGCTCAAAAGTCCTCCTTGGGGCTCAAAACTCCTTTTCTGGGCTCCCTGTGCAGTTAGCAGGGAGAACTGTGCACCTCCAGAGGGCCAACTGGATGGCACAGCTTTAGGTCATTGGCACAGCAGGAGAAGACCTCCGTTGGGAAGGTTTTTCTCCCCTGAGCACACAGGAAGTTTAGGTCAGAGCACACAGGTGTTGCATGCACATTTTACAGCCTCGATGCTGGCAACTGGTACTGGAGGCACACTTAGATATACATCCCTCTGTCCTAAAGCAGCTTATAGGGCTGCTGCCTCTTCCTGACCATCTGGCTCCTGCAAGGCCCTTCTGGGAGATTGGAAGGGAGGAAATGGTTGGAAATGGATGAGCAGAAATATGGGAGTGCTGTGCAGTCTCCTCTGATCACTGTGGATATCAATGTGTGCCAATGAGAGTCTTTAACTTTGGGAAAGACCTCCAAGATCATCAAGTCCAACCTCTGAGTGACAGCTACAAGGCTCTGGGAAGGGGCCATAAACTCTTACAGCTTGAGATGGACCTCGGGCTGTGGCTTGTGCCTGCTGCTAAGGAACAAAAGTGACTTGGTGTTTGCACAACACTCACGGCTTTGTGGTAACAAACTCACCTTCTTAATACTGAAAGAGGGGAAATCATTTCAGCTCCATCCATTCTCAGCTCTCACTCATCTTGGCAATGGGTTCAAAAGTCAACTCGAATGACCAAGGAACTTTTCTCCAGGCTGAGACATCCTGCATTTTCTAGACTACTCTTTCCGTCCATTGTCTGTATTATTCTTATTTCTTGGTATTGCTATTATTAAATAGATTTCACCACCTTAAGAAATGCATGAAGTCCAGCCAAGACCACTTACATTTCCAAGTCAGCATCAAAAAGGTGTGAAGCCCACAAAAGCACCGCTTTCCAAGGAGAGGAGGGGAGAAAAACTCCCCACCCCACCCCCCAGCCCCACACAGGGCTGTCAGCCTGGAATGTAGTTCTGCCAGCCAGCTCCTTGCTGGAGGTAGAAAGGCAGAAAGCTGCCCTCCCCATTCAACAGCCCTCCCTCATGTGCAGCAGGGGAAAGAAAAATTCCTCTTGGGTTTTTTAGAACAAGCAAACCCATGACACCTGGAGACTGCATTCTATGTTGGCACCCGGAACTTTCACCCTGCTTAGCTCAAGGACAACAATTCCTTTCCAACACAACCATCCCTCCACCCACTTCAGGCAATTCAGGCTTGCAGTTCAGTGCTGCCTGAAAGACACCCACTCTTGAGCTCTTCTAGTGCTTCATGACTTCAAGGTCTCCAAGGAACACCTTGGTGACAAGATGCCTCTATCCTGATCAATTCTACAGGGTTTGTGCTTCCATGAGCAGATGACAGAAACAGAGAGCTCTCCACCTTGTCTGAGGTGGAAATTGGAGATAAAAATCCTTGATCCCTTTGAAAATGAAATCCCAAATCTATTCAATTAGGTTTTATGGATTAGCCATGAAATCTCACTGCTCTCTCTCTCTCCTTGTTGGGTCTATGTTGTTTGCTGGAATCCTCCATTCCCTTTGGACTGAAGAGGAGAAACACAGAGGGTTTCTTTAGCTGCAAAAGGAAGTTTTACATGTCTTCTATGGTCAGAAGATATATATATTAAATATATATCCTGTTAGATTTGTCTCCCAAGGGTTTATATTTAACCTAAGTGGCCACTGCAAAAACAAACCCAGGGTTTCCAGTAATAAACTGTGGGACCATTAATAAACAGTTGCTGCAGTTTATTCCCCAGGAACATAGGGAGAAAAAGTTCTTCCAAATCAAATCCTTCCACAAAATGCATGGTCTTGGGCTTTTTGATTTCTTCCAAAGTTCTATTTGGAAGCAGAATCAATCATCCTACACACATATTATTGCTGATGCTTTGACAAATTCCCCAAACAGAAAACTTCCCAGAGAAATCCCTTGGGCATGCCCTTGGAGGAATCTCACTCTCTTTTCCAGGTGCCCTGGAGAGGTTGTGATCACTTATCCCATGAGCATGGACTTCATTCCGGCTTCATAAAGACCTGTGCAGCATGTTTTTTGCCTGTGGCATAATAATTGGCTCTGAATATAGCATGGAGATCTCTGGAAGGGGAGAGAGTGGGTGAATTGCTGCTACAGTGCTCGGGGTAAAGTCTTGACTGCCTTTACTCAGTCTCAGTTAACAATTAAATCAACTTGTGCGTGGACAAAACCTTTCACCAGCCCCTGCCTGATGATGTTACATGCCTGTAGTTTCCCTGGGATGGAGGAGGACTCTGAAAAACGGAGGAAACTCTGAGGTAAGGCAGGAAAATTAAGGATTTGATTCAGAATTCAGTGATAAAAAATGCAGCAAAGATGAAGAGGAGAAAAAGGACAATACTTGTGGGAGACACTTTTACACAGGAATTCAGGCAGATTCAATGGCACAAGAGTCTGCAGTGTCAAGTCTGGGTGAAGACTGTAGAGGAATCAAATGGATATCAACAGGATGAGGAACTGAGGGAAGGTTTCAATTACAAGTGTTGGAAATATCTAATCCAGTGGCAATACCTGATCACTGTTCTCCCAGTAACACAGATCCCAAAAAGAGAACATTTACTGACAAAAGGCAGGCTGCAGACACATTCCTGGAGTGTATTTCACCTCAGGAGCTGCAGGAGAAGAGACATCTGAAGAAATGAATACATTCTCTATTACTTAATTACAAGAGGCTCTGGGTTTTTAAATACTTTCATTTGGTGGTGAGACCTTGTATTAACTGTAGCCTTAAGGTATTTGAAATGAAGTAAGAGTTTGAAATACAGGAAAATTCATCAGTGTGAGTAAGGTTACAGGGTTGCAATCGTGAGCAGGATATTTGTGAAGCATTTAATCTGTCCCAAAATGTCCTTGCACAGATATGGGGCTGGAAACTGGAAGGGAATTGGGTCAAACGGGAGGTTGGGACAAACTACTTTCTGTAAGGACTTAAGGAAAAAAAACTTGTAAGATCTGCTGATGCTTCTTCCAGAGATGGAAGAAGCATTTCTGTCATAACAAGAAAAAAGTCAGCAGTTCGTCCATTTTTTTCTTTTCCATTTCAATTCCGTGCCAGTGCCAGCTTTTTTACATTGATATTTCCGAAGTGGAGATTGCATCAGGAATTGTTTCCCCCTGCAGGTGTCTCTGCAGGAATGGAAGGGTGGCTGATGGGAACTGCACGGAGGTGCCCCAGTTCACCCTGGCAGGACTCACCCAACACCCACAACTGAAATTCCTCCTCTTCGGGCTCTTCCTGGGCACCTACACGCTGACATTAGTGGGGAACCTGGGCCTGATCGCCCTCATCAGGGTCAGCCCCTGCCTCCACACCCCCATGTACTTTTTCCTCACTGCCTTGGCCTTCCTGGACGTTTGCTACTCCTCCACCATCAGCCCCAGGATGCTGCTGGACCTCCCAGCAGACACCAAAGCCATTTCCTTTGCCGGATGCCTCGCGCAGCTCTACTTCTACGCCGCGTTCTGCACGGCCGAGGTTTACCTGCTGGCAGCCATGGCCTACGACCGCTACGTGGCCGTCTCCAAGCCTCTCCTCTACCAGCTCATCATGTCCCCCGTGCTCTGCACGAGGCTGGTGGCCGCTTGTTTCCTTGTGGGGCTGCTGAGCGCCGCCGCCCACACTGGCGCGGCACTCCGGCTGTCCTTCTGCGGCCCGCTGCTCATCGACCACTTCTACTG